AAAAACTTATAGAAATTATTTATAATGATTGAGTTGAAATTTTGACTTACCAGTTGCTTCTCCCTCAGTTCTCTGCGTTGTCGCTTCTTTTCCTCTTTCCATTTTTCCCGCCATCGAGACTTGACATTGGCCCCGATTCTAATGAGGTCAGAGGGCAGCATGTGATTGACACGTGTCACGAGTTTGGTGGCTGACAGCCCCGGACTGCGAGCGGAACTGAATTCGTCTGCTGCGATTTCCAAAGAAGTCGGGACATTTTCGAAAGGGTCTGAGTTCAATAATGAGAAAATTTATTTGAATGAGGCTATTCTGTTACACAGTACCAAATATCATTTTAATTCATTTAAACGCTTTGATTATATGATTTTACTTATAAGTATTAAAATGCATTTAGAAAGGGTGTAAATTATTTTAATATCCAACAACATTCGTTGCAAATAAACATTATTATTATTATTATTATTATTATTATTATTATTATTATTATAAGAAAGCTTACCTTAGTAACTGTTTAACAATGGACCAAGAGCATTTTTTCTTATTGATTATTATATTATCTCTAACCAACCTTTACGCTTTTTCTGCCAACAGACTGTCGGGTTTGAAGAATTACCACCCTTTTCTTCTTTACCACTGGCTGCTCTTTTCACAGGGGCCGATTTCGATCTGTTCGTTGTTTTCATTGTTTTAATCTTTCTTGCGCCTTTTTCTTCCATCGCAACATTTCCTTTAAAGGCAACATTGTGTTTCACACAGTCTGTTTTAGAACTATACTCACGATGTGCACAAGTTGATGGTAGCATCCTGATAAAGCAATAAAAAGTTTTCCAACTTTACGAAATATTTGAGTTACAAAGATAAACAAAACGGTCACGCGCGTTACGACAAAAACGTTGTTCGTTACGTTATTATACGGCTGTGTTTTCCAGTTGCTGTGTGACGTAAACTACGCAATTCTGTGACGTATACACTTCATTATTAAACTCATTTTCATTATTCTTAGGTATAAGAAGAGCAGTATACAAGGCTTTAAAATAATGCCGCCATCATGAAAATGACTAAGTTTAGCCCAACTGTAAACATTTAACTGTAAACGGATGTTAACACAAATATGGCAGATTTGCGTATATAGTAAGAGAAGAGCTTACGTTTCTTATGCAATGCGTGTGACGTTGTCTGAACGTTACGTCATAATGCTAATGCGGCCTTGTTCACATCCGAGATGAGCGGCCAATCCTGAAAAAGCGCTTTATCTTCCAATTTATACTGTCATAGAATTTAATCTAATCCACACACATTGAATTGTACCAGCAGATTGCAACACATCGTTTTGTACAACAAAATAACGTCATAAGTAGTTTGTGTTGGTCAGTCATTGTATGAAGTTAATTGCATGTGACGTCATCTGTACAGCATCTTGCAGTAGATTAGAACGCATTGATTATAATGTGAAAAACTAACTAAATTTCGAGATGAAAATAACACAGTGGAAAAACAGGGCAGCAAAGCTGTCATATGTACAGAAATAATGCAAATAATAACGATGACCGTGCGCTAAGGAAAATAACATAACAGCATTGTCACCACCAATGTTTAATCATGCACTACCGTTAATGTGAAAATGTTACTAGCACAGGACCTCAGGCCCAGGGGGTTAATACACACCTTTAATGCAATTGTTTGAAAAATGAAAAACTATCAAAAAAATATGTCCAATAAATAAACCTGCTACCACCTATTGTTGATTGATTGTATGTGTATTACATTTTTATACGCACTGCGTCCGTAGATAAAACCATTTTAATCCTGTGCAAAAATTGCAATTCAAGTTGAAGACAGCACAAAACGCAAGGTTTCTTTACAAGGTTCAGAACTACGCCAGCAATGGTAGTCCGCTAGGAACCGTAGCCCTTTCCACAATACTTTGCTAGTTTATTAATTTTTTTTCACTTCTTTATGGCTTTACAAGGTATTTTACAATTCCTCAAAATTCATTAATCAAAAGAACCGCATGAAAACATCATTAGAGTTAAATGGCAATCAGAAATAATGTCCATAAATAAATACAAATGAAAACTTAAAAACACGCACAAAGACCGTTTTTTTTTATAACACTAGGAGTTATTTATTGTTCAAACAACTGAAATATAAACAATCATATTTCCAATTCTAGTCTTTTCCCCTTCTAGATCATACCCATTTTCAACAGTCACAAAGGTTCTATGTGTTGTAAATATTCACATCCCAACTGAGATGCTATCATACATTATTACCATTGTCTCTTATTTATTTTCTACACCATGCCCTTTTTAGGGCCACTGAAGTTGCAGGTTGAACACTGTAGGGGTTTTAGCAAACAGGAAATAATACAAAGTTGCTTTTTTCTTTTGAATATGTGGTCAACACTGTAGTTTCTCATCCAATCAAAGGTCATGTGATCAAGAGTTCCCTTGGCAACAAACCGTGGACCTTGGTGAAGGAATCAACTTCGGATTAAGATGTTTTGCAATCAACACCTTCAACAGTACTTAAATACAAAACAAGATGAATTAAGTTCAAGACTGGGTTAGATCTATTCCCTTAAGCTTTACAAAGCCTTAAATTAATTCAGCTAACTCCTTGCAGTGAGCAGAAATCTTCACCATTTGAAAAAAATAACTAATTTAAAATGACTGTGTGTAAATATTCCATTTTTGAAAAATGATATATAAAAGCCTATACACTGATAAAGTGATACACTTGATATTGGCATAGAGCAATGTTGAGTATTCTATAATATTTATATCAAAGCTAATACAAACAATGACTGTATCTTTAAGAAACATTCACCCCTACCCCCTATAGAACCACACATTTCAACAAGCTATGCATAAATACAAAAATATATATAACAGACTCACATGTGGATAAATTCAAATTAATACTTGTGATGACATCTTAAGGCAAGGATTTCTGAAACCATAAGAACAAATACTAGATATTTCATATTGTGTTTAGGGATTCCTAAAGCCTGCATTCTCATACAAGATAAAAGTAAGGCCAAGAGCTGATGCGGCCTACTATGATAAGCTACTTGTCTGACGGCATCATGTTTCATTTAAGTCAATTTCTGTTCAAACTTGGTCCTGTGTGTGAACATGACCCGACTTTGTGACGAGACAAACATGTAAAGGCACGCTATAGGGTTAGCAACAAAGGTTCCACAACACTTATCACTGTATCTAAGCTTTGTGCAAATACAATCAAAGCCTCTCATTCACATTTTCCTCTATATTCATGAATAAAGAAAAACAAATTACTTTTTTTAAAATATCAAGAAACTTAAGTGACTTAAATCTAAATGAGACTTGGATAACAAATTTACCTACAATAACTTATCACATTGTATACTCAAGTTTGACATTTTCATGTGACACAAATGTACTGCCTAGACAGGCAAGTCTTTAAACAAGTCACATCTAATTAAGTCTGCATTCCTACCTATGACATCTGTCCAATTTCAAACATTTATGTCCTTTAAAGTAAATAATTTTATACAGATGTTCAGGGTATTTCCACATAATTGTCTAAACCATATTATATTCTTTTACAGAAATTATCATCATAATGCCTCTTGCCAAATATTGACAAGTATAAAAATGGTCCCATAGGCAGAATGGACTTGGATACAATTCAAACTGGAAAAAGTAATAACACATGTAAAAATGTTCTTTTCATAACCATCATTCCACACCATTCTTCCAACTCCACGTACATGTGATGACTTCATTTTGCTATATGTATTTTCTATATAACAATACCATTTATACATAGTACATAATATACAAATTTCAATATATATATAATATGTATATAACTCTCAACCTCTACACTTTTCATTTTGATAATGCAAAATTCAAACTTCAATCATTATACTACAAGGAAAATTTCATTATCAAAATGAAAGGCCACTCGTATCTACAGAATATATATAT